AACTTCTTTGTAATTCAAGAAAGTGTGTTGTTTCACATAATGTGCTATGTATGAGGCCCTGTGTAAAATCAATCCTACGTTCTTCACAAGCAAGGGAGATCTCTTAATTCCCTTTCAAAAAGAGGAAAGATTTATGGTATACACGGGCCGGCAAAAATCGACGAGTTCGACAAAACAATGTACTCTAAACACGGGTTCCGGTCTAGAGAACTCTAGGTCTGTAGTACTCGTACATGGCCGTGCTTTCCTGGTTCAAGGATGCTGCGACATATCCCACACATACATATATATATGTATACATATATTGGACAAGTGCAAGCATGAAAAAAAGCAGTGGTCGAGGTAAGCCGCCGAACCAGAAATCCATATGTCACGAATCCAATGTGTATCAGGGACAAGATGATTTTGCACTACGAAGTATTTTAACAGATTTCCATATAGGGGAAACCATCGGTTCTCCCCACTGCGTTTCGATTTATAAGCCATGAGAATACAGAACCACTAAATTCAAGGGATTCAGATATGTGTTTCGAAACATGGTGGCTATTCCAAAACAGATAGTATACACCATGAAAACATTACATCACTGAACCATTGAGCCATTGAAGCGCTAAACCCTTAAACCATGAAACTGCTGGACCATTGAACCATTGAACCTTCAAACCTTTAACTAATGGTTTTCCCTGCATGCAAATCAATTGAACTATTGAAGCATAAAACCAATCAAACCTTGAACCCTTGAACCTGCGACCAATAGTTTTCCCCATATGGTAATCCATTGAACCATTGGACTATTGAACCAACGGTCTTCCCCATATGGGAAGCCATTAAACCCTTGAACCATTGAAGCAATGGCTTTCCCCATATGGAGATCCATTGAATCATCGACTGGGTTGAACGGCTTGACTGTTCATTAGTTCAATGGTGTAATGGTTCAATGGCCCCATGGTTCAATGTACTTCCATATGGGGAAACCCATTGGTTGATTGGTTTACTGCTTCAGTGGTTCATGTGTTGATGCATTGTGATATTCTGGGACAGCTTCTTCTACTACGCGCAATAATATCGACCATGCAATATGTGCATGTACAGTGCCTGCATGTGATCGATGTACGGAAATGCGCGAATGTGTAATTTCTCTAGTGTGGTTGCGAGATATCACGTAAGGTTAGAGTGCATCTAAAACCTCGCGTATTTATTGCGTGTGATCATGTATGCACACGTAAACATGAAACGTTGGTTAAATTCACCCTGAAGGTCTCGGCTCATACACATATATATATATGTGGAGAGAGATATATGTATACATACAACAAGGGCTTGGATCAGCAAGCATGCCTCCAGCGGAAAAGAAGATTTCTCAGCCAAACGGGCATACCTGCTGTGGCCACTGAGCTGTTGAGCTTTCCAGGTTGCAGGCTCAAATGTTCAGGAAGACTTGGGTTCAGGGATAGGCCCAGGTAGCGGTGCAGAGCATAGAGAATGCAAAGGAAACACTCACGTCGTATCCTTGCCTTTGAACTGTGCGGCGCGTGCTTGCAAGCTTGCACAGCAGGCAGTGTGACAGCCCTCGTGGTTCGACCCACAGCATATCGAGAGATTGATCTACTCAACCAGGCCGCAAACCAAAGCTTCAGAATCCTCTCTGGCTTTCTCATATCTTTACAGGCGCGCCGGGTCCAAAAGCGTTCGTGAGCGTGCTGGCGACTCCGACCTTGCGGTGGCTCGTCGTTGAAGCTTACATCCGTTTCATGCTACGTATCCCTGCAGTGCCTGCAATCGGGTGCGGCACGGCCTTTTGCATCACGGGCCTCGCATAAAGTGCAGCCAATGAAGTCTGAAAGGAGTCAAGGTGGCACATTGAGCGGCTTTCAAACTCCAGTGTGTGACGCGTAGGATTGCTCCGTACAGCCACAGACACAACGCAACTGACTTGGAAACCCTCTACTCAATTCAAATGCTGAGCACGTTGCAGTTTGAGCACGACACGGTCAGAAAACCTGACAGTCTTGCCAGGCAGAGTCGCCATCCACACCAAAACGGATAGCTCTCAAAATACACGGATGCATTACTGACAAAATGATTCTGTTGGAAAATCAAGGTGAGCCAAAATGAATGTCATGTCCCGGTCCGTTCCATGAGCTCTGAACCGACGATGATGAGCTACCGCACACTGCAAGCTGCCTGAAATTTGTTATTAGCCTGCGCAGATAAATCAAAACCTGATATTGTAAGTTCCGGCATGTCATGTGTCTAGATCACGGTAGGAACTCGCTTCTGACGTTGCGGACTCATGACAACTGCCAGACGACTGCTTTATGCTTTGCATCCAGTCTCAAGCCATCAAATACCTGTCTGGCGAAACGTCAAAATGATCAGTCTCTCGTTGCTGCTGAGTCTCTCAACAGCACGGCCTAGCACCAGGCAAAGTTTGGCTCTGCAACCGAACAGGGCAACTAGATTCCGCCTAGCTATTCGATTCACGCACACCTGTCCCCTCCGTCCTGTGAACGTTCGTCTGTTACAAAGCTTCTTCCAAGCAGCCAGTTGCTTTCACCCTCTTGCGATGAAAAAGCAAACCATTCGTGCTCACTAATGAGAATCTTGCACCGGTTCTCTGAGAGGGGCCAAAGCGGCCCAGAACTATTCCAAAGTGCACATCAGCAGCGTGGCATTTTCAAGCCCCTAAGCCTCCACCAACCTGGCGTCCAACCAGCAGCACAACAAGAGCAGCCAGGCAAGCGGTCAGGAAGCCTGGCCAAATGGCAAAGACTCATGCTGGAATCACTTTCCGGAGCATCCAAGCAGCATTACCTAAGTCAACAGCTTTAACAGCTTTGGTAGCAGCAGCTAGGCACATCTGCTCGCAGGATTTGAAAGCACCTGTCCATGCACCCATTGCGATCTGCCCAATCCTGATGCGGCTTCCGCGTTGGGACGACGTGATTGATTGTCGGGCTCTGCGTCCCGTTTCCAGCTTGAGCTGTCCACCACTGAATGCCACTGAAGGTCAAAGTTCGAATTCCGTGATCTTGTCGTCTTGAGCTAAGACCTGGACTTCCCAACCCAAATCCTGTATCACTGCATCAGGCTTCTGACTCTGGAAGGGGCCAACAAGCAGGGTAAGCAAACCGTGGCAGGATGGGTACAGACAATGATTTTCTGGAATTGCATGAGATGAGGAATTCGGGTCTTGAATGACTCTTCCATGCGATCAAACTACATCCGCCGAGGCCCCCGGCCTCTGGCGTTTGAGGGAGCAAGACTCTACCCACCCGCTCAGAGGGTGTCCAAGCCCAACCCGTTAAGGGATCCTGCGCGCCGCCTGCTCCCACCACCTTCTACTCCCTGCCCTTCTAGTCGGCCTCTTTCAACCAACTGTGCAGCTGCAGGATCCTGTAATTTCCATACAAATGTCTAGAAAGATTTTAAGGGCCACTCGGGTGTTGCACAGGGCAACGTATAGGGATATGGACTTTTCCCAAGCAAGCGTTCAGAGCTCTGTAAAGGTTTTTACAAAGAGACTATGTGCTAAGATCCACCAACGCGTTTGGGGGAGCAAGACTCTGCCCACCCCCCGAACGGTGCGCGTTTGCAACTGGGTGGAAAGCCTGCGGGTCGGGCCGCAGATTCGCAAGAATCGGGTGTGCTAGCTAGAGGGGTTCTGAGAAATTTATAAACCTGCCGCCCCCGCCCCACCCCAGACCCCCTCTCCGGCCCTCCCCTGCTCCCCAAAGACTTTCCCCGCCGCTTTTGCCATCCTACTTTCCTCCCTCCTTCAGCTTTCCCTGCCCCCGGCGACCCAACTGTGCAGCTGGCTTCTATACAAATGTCTCGAAAGACTTTATAAGACCACTCCGGTATTGCACAGGGCTCTATAGGGATATGGTTTTTTTGAAAGTCGTTCCGGGCACTGTAAGGGGGTTTTGTAAGGAGATTACACGGAAAGATACTATATAAGGTGATCTAAGAATACAAAGGGACAAGTTGATTTGAAGCTGTCATGTTCCAGGCAGCTTTACACAGGCGAGCTGGTCGAGGCGGCGCACGTTAGCGTTAATATCCTTAAAATTAAATGCCTGGCGTACACATGTACGTAGCGACATACACTCACTAGAGCCATGTAAACCCATCAACTTTGCCATGATGTTCTCAAGCCCTGCTCTGCCGCCACACATGTAAGTGCTGGTTCTTCTGAAGTCGGCCAGACCCAACCAAACCAGAAACAGCAACACATGGACGTGCTCCAGAGATTGATGCCCTCCCGGAGTACAGAGATGCAATCAGCAACGGTAGCGCAGGGAGCTGCACCACCAAAGCTTCAAGAAGCAAGAAAGGTGCAAGCACAGGCATGACCACTGCATCTTCATGTAGCTCAGAATTCCTGCCGCTCTGTGCAAGCCTCCAGCAGCACCTACCGTCAGCAGAGCACGCGCGCTCTGCGAACGTCTAGCTCCTGCCTGGCAAACTACGGCAAGCACGACAAAGCCAATGATAAAAATTGTGCAGCTTAGCAGTCTCGGCCTCCATTGCATCGTGACTGCCACACGCTTGCCTGTCTTTGGAACTGGGAAAGACACAACCCACAGCAATTGGAGCACAAAACTGAGAGACTTGGGCCCCTGCCTGAGTGAATGCAACAGTTGCATGGCTTTTCAACGTATTACAGAAACTGGTATATGAAGTGTTGTTGGCCATCTGTCCACCATATGCTTAGCTTTCACCCATTCTCCAGCGCCGATGGAACGAACCACTAGTAGCTTGTGAGCATCTGCAAGTCTTGAGCCCGCGCCACAGCAAACCAAACTGAGTTAACTGCATGCACGTGAACAAGCCAGCATCATACCTCCGGCCTGAAACTGTTAAGTAACGTGGAGTGAAGTACAACGATTGTGCCTGCTAAAACTTTTGCGAAAAATAAGAGCCTCTTCTCTGGCAACTCAAGCTCTTGCTGTACGGCCTCAACGCCTTAAGCAAATGTTGGGAGCTGAGTGCCTAGCGAATGACACACAAGGACTGTCTCGCCAGCTGCAGGCTGCCGGAAGCACCTCCAACATCCAGCAATGCTTAGCAACCACACAAATGGCCTCTGCTCAATTGGTAGCCGTAACCTGCTGCAGCACCCGTGACGTCGGCCATCCTGCCGAACGGTCTACGAGACAATTCGCGTGCATGGCTATGCCTCGTCCTGTTCTTCTCACGGCTTGACCCAGGCATTGTCCGTGGCTTTGTTGAGAACTTTTTATGCCCATGCCCATGCCCATGCCCTATCTTTTTGTGCATGGCAGGTGCCTGCAGAACGGCTTTCAGCGCCTCTGCTCCAAGCAGGTTTGTCTGCGAAAAAATCGCTTCACTGCTGTTGACTAGCTTTCAGCCTGATGGCAGCTCCCTTTAACGACCTTCCGCAAGCTATGGTGGTTGGCAATCAACTCTGCAACACGGTGCAGTCGGGTCATTGCGTCCAAGCTGTGACATGGATAACATGATACCTTTTTTTTGCTCTGGGATGAACGTCACAACTCGGGAAGGGGTGCCCTGGTCACTGTTTGCTCTCGGAGGAGATGTTCTGGTTTGGGCCTCTGCTTGGATGGGCGGGTGGGTTGC